TCTCTATCATTGCAAGCTCACCGTTCGTCTCGCTTCGATGCAAAGGCACGGCTACCTTTCAAGATGGCCCAGGGAATTGTGAAAGGGACTAATCAAGCTTTTTAGCTATTTTGTCTATGGCAACATTGTCCTTCTATCTTCTTGGCATTCGTATATGTATTTTGCTACGATTTTTTGGATTTTTTCATTCGGGTTGATAAGAAAATGGACTTTATCGTTTTCACTTAAGAGTTCAAATTGTTTGTTTGTAATTGTGTTAATTTTTTGTTGTACTTCCGTTTGTTTGAGTAGGACGGACATTTCAAAAGAAAAAGTTTTCATCTACAACTTCTTGTTCACAAGGACATGTTTTTTCTTCTGATTTGACATAAGGTCGTAAAATGTCTCCCCTTCGATATTTCTTTTCTGAAAGGAGAGTTGCCACCACCACACACACAATTATCTTATGGTCGGTTCCTTAAGCCCCGTTTACACTGGCGATTTTTGCGGCGCTTTTTGCTGCGATTTTTGTGGCAATTTTCGGAAATATGAAATCGTTTGTCTCATCCTTCAAAAGAGACTAGGAAAATCTTGGTATCCCGAAAAAAACTTTACATGTAAATTCTTTACCATTATTTATTATGGACAAAATCGCAAAAAAATCGCAAAAAAAATCGCAGCAAAAATCGCAGCAAAAATCGCAAAAAAATCGCTAGTGTAAACGGGGCTTTACAGCACCTGTGCTTCCCATAAAAAAGTGAGCCCAAAAAGCACAACATATACACAGTACCAGAACAGAAGCACAGTCAAAACAGTGAATTTATGCACAAATCTAAGCATGCTGATTAACAAAAACAGAGGGAATCAGTTGAAAACGAAAAGCTGTTGAGATTTTGTATGTTTTATGTAAAGTTAGTTAATAAATAAATGAAGTTGTTAAGAAAGAGATTTTAATATGCAGTTTAGCTCAGCATCAAACGTGAATGAGAATGAATTCATACTACATTGAACATTGCCGCTTTGAAAGTAGAATCAGCATCTGACGACAGATATTCTTGGTGGAGTTATTACACAGTGGGGGAGGGGCTACATCGGTTCAGTCTAGGTCGAGGCGATAGCATTTGAGTGCATACTTTCAATTTCAAAGTAGCGGATCCCGGATTCCAAAAGGGTGGATTCCGTATTCCAGAGTGCTGGATTCCGGATTCCAAAGCCTGAAATTTCGTGGATTCCGGATTTCCTTACATGGGGCGACAAATTTCGTATGATTGTGAAAATCCCGATACCGTCATGTTTTCTGGAATTTTGATTGGCTGATTCTTTTCTCGCGCAATGTGATTGGTCTAGCAGAGCAGTAAACCTTGGTGACCGTGCCCGTGCAGTGTTCGTGTCATGTTTTGGGTGTTCCATTCAGATAAATATGAAATAATGCTTTAATGCAGTTAATAAGCTTATATTGCTTAACCATACTAATGCAAGTGTAATTTATGATAGTAATAATATATGCATGCTTTACAAGCACCCACTTGAGCTATCCTGATCTTTAACCATTACTGCGATTTCCATAAACATGCCAATTCTGTGTCTGCGAGCTGCACGCTGAAATTTGGTTTTTCGCTGCCGCTAGTCAAAAACATGAAAGGTACCGACTGATTAGGTTTGATTGACAGCAGCGAAAAACCAAATTTCAGCGTGCAGCTCACAGACAAAGAGTTCGCATGTTTATGAAAATCGCAATAATAGCTGCCACGTATATTATTCTATCTACTATAATATCACATAACTATACTACATTTTACATAGCACAAATCCAGTACGTTAGCAAAACGATGTTAGCAATTGCTTTGACTATGGTTTCTATATTAGGTGAATTTTAATTATGTCTCTCATGATGCTTATTGCATTTTGCCGTTAGTTAGAATCAGAAATGTGCCAAGAGTGATAATGGATATCTTGATGATGATGATGGCGACGATGATGATATTGATAGTAAAGGTGATGATGACAATGGTGATRATGATGATGATGAAAATGGTGATAATCATGATGGTGATGGTAATCATGATGGTGATAATGATCAAGATACAAGCAATGTCGATGATGATGAAGAAGACAATGTGATGGTTGTGATAATGCTGATGATGGTAGTGACAATGATGATAGTAAAGACATTGTCTAGTACAGACATTTACAACAAAGCCATTGTATTGATTATTTCATTTCATTGGTTTTTATTTCAAAGTTCTCTGGTTTTCCTCCCTCCATAAAAATCAA